GTAACAGGCCTTCTTCCATCTCTTTTTCTCCCTTCCTAGGATGTTTTCCTGTTGGCCTGGCTGCAGCTGGGCAGCCAGGGTGCAAACAGCAGGCCCTGGAAGAGCAGTTGGGGCAGGTGTTCTGGGTGATAAGGTACATTCTGGTTTCCAGTGGGGTGCTGGCAGCCTGTTCCAGGGTTGGAGTTTCACGAGCTGCCTCGGAAGTCCAAATTTCTGGGTAGAGCAGTGCTTTGTCTGCCTGAGAATGCAGTGGGCGTTCCTGCCGCCGGGAGCTGCGATCGCTGGCAGCGTGACTTGTGCTTTGAAATTGGACACAAATCACCAAAAAGTCCTGTGGCAAAAATAGGTGGAGCGAGCACGCAATTCCGGGGACTCCAGCACAGCTGGAGAGAGACAGGAAGCACATCCCAGGGGCCAGGAGCTGATTAACAACCGGGAGTAGCACAAACCCAAGTGCGAGAGATGCGGAGCCCTTCGGGTGTTGTTCAGTGCCTGCTGGAAGAAGCTCCCATTCATTAGCTTGGAATGGGTGTCTTATTTTTATTTATATCTTTTTATTGTGAGTGGTTTACTGTGTCACGGCGCTGGGTGTTGGGGCTTGCCACTGGCTGCATTCTTTCTGGGACAGTCAGAACTGCGCCGCTAATTCCTGTCACTGGAATTTTGGGGATTTTTACAGATGGATTTGGTGTGGAGATATTTTAAGCCTCCATTTACATTATTGAATTCAGGCATCACTGTAACTACTTAAAGGCGAGGCAATAATAGTCTCAGAGGTCTGTGTGTGCACTGAAACAATGGTGTGTTTTATTGTTGTGGTAGATGGGTGGGCTTTTTAAGCTGCTCCATGTAACTGAGATTATTCCTGCTAGGATCTATCCCAGTGGGATAGGTGCCTTTTTAAATACAGTGAGCAGTGGAAGGTGTGAAACACATCTGCCTGCAGACTCCAGCTATCTCCCAGTAGCAGCACAGGAGATAACCTTATTTGTGTACTGACTGGGAGTTCCTGTGTGTGAAGTGGGGCTGAATGATGTGCTGACCAACATTAGTCTGGAGTAGTTTTGTTTTTAAGCAGGTTACTGGAATGGGGAAGTCTGGGAAATCAGGGAGGAGTAGGCAGAGAAAACAGGAAAAGAGGGGGGAAAAGCCACTTAGCAGCATCCTGGTGGCTTGAATAAGTTACCCTTGCCAAAGCACTGAGATGTGAGATAATAAGGAATGTTTCACTGAGCTGGGACAATCTCGTGCTCAGCAGCCTTCATGTCACTTTTATAGAATTTCAGGCTTATTTTGGAATATCTTGGGAGTGATGTTTTTCCTCTGGCTCAGTGCATAAGAGCCTGCAGTGGTTTAAAGTTTGTAGCGATCCTTGAGAAAGCTTAATTCCCGAGGACAGGAAATGATATTCCCTCTGAATGACACCTCTCTCCTAATTACCAGCCCCGCTGTGGTTCCCTCCCTGTGTTCATGAGGGGAACTGTCAGTGCCTGATTAAGTGGAAAAAGCATTGGGCTTTGGGGAAGGATTTCAACGCAGGGCAGCTGCTGCCCCGAGTCATGGTGCCACCTCCCAGTGTTCCTGATCCAGGTCAGGGGGAATTTAAATTAAATGTGACTTCCTTGCTGGCTTTGGGGAGCCTCACTCCTGTGCTGGTGCTGATGGTGCCTGGCTGCTCCCAGGGTGAGTTTTGGAGGCTGTGGTTGTCACTCGTAAAGAGAAGCAAAGTTGTTGAGCTGAGATAAAACTGGGAGTGAGTGCATGTGGATGTCAGGGTGACCTGAAATGTTTTCAGTTGGCTTGGGTGGTGTTGCTCACCCTCGGCCTGCTCCCCCTGTAAGGAGGCCAAGCTACTGTTTGCATTATTCAGAGAAACATTTGGACAGGATCTGTAGAGTCATCACGTGATACTGCTCTGCAGTACAAGGTGATCGGGATTCGCACTAGCTGGAATCTTTGTATGGGGAAGATAAGGATTGAAAATGACCTCTAGTAATATGTTCTGTCTGAAGCACTCCTTGCACAAGGCTCCTGTGCTGCTTTATCCAGACTGACACGCTCTTACCAAGCTGTGGGCGCTGCTCCTGCTGTTCCTTGGAGGAAGGGAGGCAGAGGTTGGTTTGTTGCAGTGTTTGCAAAACCGGAGTTAGGAACAGATTTACACCTCTACTTCCAGATCCCATCCCAAAGACAGCATGTGTTTTGACATTTGATAGAGGGGGGAGGGAAAGCTCTCCCTAATGCTTCCTGTACATCAATTTTTACCTGAAGGCTGGTCATGGAAGGAGCATTGGCCCAGGTACCCCTGGCAAGTACAAGCTGCTGTTGGCCGAACATGTTGGGCTGGCAGAGGGAAGGGGCAGCAGTGCTGACAGCTGCCTGCAGCACAGCCACAGTGCTGCTGAGGGCTTTCCTCCTCTCCCTGCTCCGCCATCATGTGCTGTAATGCAATTTGAGGGAGATGACAGCAGCAGCATAATGGGGAGGCAGGAAAAGCAGCTTTCTCTCCCTTTCAGGAAACCAGCAGCACAGGGCGTTTCATCCCTCCCCTGCTGCTGGGATTTCCAGCTACAGATGAGCAAGACCCGTGAGCAGTAACTTGGCTATTGTAAATAGTTTGTGTCCTCTCTGTGGGTTGTTAAACCAGAATCCTATTGTAGTGGAGAAGGCTTCATTGTGTATCTACTGGGAGGTACCCTTGGATCTGCCGGGACTAGCACAGACCAGCTTGCAGCGGCTGGAACACACCTTTTCCTTGGACACAGTGTCAGGAGGGTGCTCCTCAGCTGAATGGGCTGGTGTTTATTTAGCACTTTGCAGCTGTTTTTACTCACCCTCCATCCCAGGTGGTTAAATAATCTTTCTGATATTGCAACACCCAGGAAAGAATTTCTGTTCTGCTGTGTGAAGGCTCAACCCAGTGTTGGACACTTGAGTGCGATGACTAAGGGTGGGCACAGGACTCGCTGCCTGCAAGCCGTGTGTCCTTGGTGAAAGTTCTGATTGCAGCCTGGGCAACCCCTTGGCTGTGGCCTGTGATGGTTTTTGTGTCTTGTGTATGCAAAATGTTTGTTTGCTTTGGGATGATATCGTTGGGTACCTTGCAGCCTTGTGAATTTGTGTGACTGTGGACCTGGAGAGTTCACGTGCAGTTCTTCTTCCTTTGCTTTTTAGCTGATAATTCACTCATTCGTGAACTTTACTAGTCTCAGAAGAGACTCATGCTGGAGGTGGAGCATCTCTAAATCCGGCCACAATCTAATTTCACTGTTCTCAGTTCTGATATAGTGGCACTTGCCTCAAGTACAACCTCTTTGCTTTTCTGCTCTTTTAGCCCACTCTGCCTAAACCCCACAGTGGCACTGCCATGTGATGTGGATGAAGTCAGGCTGGACAACTGTCGTGAGCCTGGAAGGCTGCCCTGGGTTTTCACTGCTGAGAGCTTGCTGGGATGGAGTTGGCCACAAGGCTACACGTGGCTGCAAACAAAACTAAACCTGGTTTTACAAAAGCTGCTGCCACCCAGCTTGAAAATCTTTTGACACCTGGTTATCTGAGGTGCTGAAGCAGCAAGGACACAGTAGCAGTTCTTCTGTGGCAGTGCTTCTCCTGCTGCAGTTGTTGGGTGCAACAGGCAGCTCATTTTTTTACACTTTCCAGCAGAAATTGGTGCAGAGCGTGGCCTTACTGCCTGGGTGCTGCACCTGCCTTACAAGGTATCTGTTGGTATTTTACTCAGTAAAAAAGGCTGTTTAACCCTTGTTTCACTGTGGAGTGAGCTTGGCCTGTTGGCCCAGTGTGGCTCTAAACTGGCTCTTATACATATTTAAACCTATCAGTTTATTGTGTAAAAGCATCTTTCAGAGGCAGTTCCTGACCTTGGACTAGGAGCACGTGTAGTTTGAGTGTTAGTCAGGTATTGGCTGTGCCTGCAGTTTAAGATCTTCTCCCTGCCTTCAGTTTATTTTACCATCTTAATTCTGTTCTCCCACTTCCACTATGGTGGATATGTGAGGAGAGAAGGTATCTGATCTGAATCCTACAAAAACATTTTCCAGGGCATTTCCTTTCAAAGCTCTAAGAAATGCTGGAGGAACTGTGTAAGAGGAGGAGACAAGCCATGGTGTGGGAATGTGACCATCTTAAGTAGGCATTGCAGTGGAACCCTTCTGACTGTGAAGCCACAGCTTCTGGCCACTGACCTTTGGAATTATGGCAAGTGCAGGTGCTTAACACGGCTCTAAAAAAAGGGCATGGCTGTAATAACCAGAGTATGTGACCTGTGAGGTCACTCTTTCTGGAAGTCCCTCTCTCTGGGATGTTTGACACCTGGAATGGTCGGTGGCAGGCTTTGAAGTCAATACTTCTAAAAGCACTGTGCAGATTGACACCAACACCTTCCTTTCAGCTAAGGTGGGCTGCTGCAGTCAGTTGGGTTTTTTCCCTCCTGTGCCACCTCAAGGTCAAGTCTCAGCTTTTGTGTTGTCAGCAGCTTTGTGAATGAGGTGAGGTGTGCTATGCTTGAAAGCAAAGTTTCTTGTGATAGGGGATATTTTTGTATTTTTATTTTAAGTGTGACCTGCACCCTTCTTTCTACATTTGTTCCTCGTGGTTTGTTATGCCTTTTTTTTTCTTTTTCTTTTCTGAAGCACAACTTCCCAAGTGCAGTTTAGGTGGTTTCCAAAGTTGGTCTGCTGGGCAGCCTCTCAACATCCAGGATGCCATCACATGCCTTTGTGATTTTAAAGTCCTCTGGTACTGGAACTAAACCTGACTCTGTGCTTTCCAACCCTCTTGGCTTTGGTCTAGTTAGTCCCTCGCTGCTGCTTTTCACAGCAGTTTGCTGTTTGTGTGCAGCCTGGCTCTCCCTGCTCCCAGTGCCCCTGCAAACAGGGCTGTGAGCAGAGCAGGCTCTGTGTGAATGTCAATGCCACAGCCTGTCCCAGTAGCCTTAAATCCCTTATTTCTGTTTCCTCTCCAGTGAAAAACAGTGCTGAGATGGTAACCTGAAGGTTCCTGAAGACGTGCATCCAACTTGTTAAATAACTGCTTAAAAGGTTGCACTTGGACTTATTTGTTCTGTTAAGCCTTTTAAAGTGAGATTCAGGACACCTTAAAGAAAAGACAAAAAGGAAGAAAAACTACTGAGGATTTGGAGAGGAAATGCTTTGGAGAGGAATCCTTTCTCCTGGAGAGCTCTGTGAAGTACAAGTAACAGAGGAGCACTCTGGTGTGTACCCTGGGGCACACAGGGCATTTCTCCTGTTCTTTTCCCCGTGGCTGCTGGGTTTGTGGGGAAGGGAAGGCAGCTGCAGTGAATGCTGTGTGGAGCCTTGACAGGTACGTGCAGCTCCTGGAGCTGTACGTGGTGTCTGAGTCAGGGCGCTGCTCAAAGGACACGTGAATTCAGGGAAAGAAAACTGGAAGTAAAACTTGCTCTGGAAGCGACAGAGCTGCAAGTCACGTGGCTTCACGTGCCCTTGCATTCATCCCCACCCTTATACCACAAAATCAGAATAAATCAGTTCTTTAAAATGATGGTTTGGGAGACAGGCTGTGAGCCCAGCGAGGCCGGGTTTGTGTGTATGTGCTGTAGCCAAGGGCTGAGCTGCTGGTGCCTGAGTTGTTGCTTGAACATGAAATGCCAAGCTGGCACCTGTGTTTGTGATGTGGGAGGGAGGTTTTGGATTTAGGGGATTATACTGGATGATCTTGCACATGCCAGAAGGCAGGCAGAGTACTGCCCTTTACAGGAACTAGCTGCAGGGATGCCTCTTCCTCTCTCAGAGCCTTGAATTTTCACTTTGCACCTAAAATGAGCCACTCAAGGCGATGGCATTAACTCTCCTTTCCAACCAGACTTTGTAAATTCAACTTTTTTCAGGACTCAGTTTGATAGGAGAGGCAAATGACTGATCCAGAGTTCTCCACCTCTTGTGCAGAGAGTGGTTTTTTGCATGTATCAAAATGAGGAGTCTCATGCTGGTCAGGGAGATGTGATGACACAGAGCCCTTCTTTTGGCAGGACTGACAGGGGTCGTGGGAAGGCACTCAAGTGTCCAGCTGCTGACCTTGATGCCAGTCACCAGGGAATAGCTCAAAGGAATCTGAAACTTTCAGTTGAGTTGCCCAGTTGTGAAAAACGAATGCAGCTGTTTTAAGACATTGTACATTTTAGAGAGGAGCTCACAGAGAAGAGATTTTGCCAGAAAAATGCAAATATTTTGCAGGTTTGGGGAGGAAAACTGGTGTCAGTGTATGTGGCCCACTGTTAGGTGAATTAGGTAAAACTGGGCAGATTGTTTTCCTCTTGTACTTTGTGGTTTAGGTGCAATAAAAATGGTGATTTGGTGCTTAAAAAAATATTATTAAGTGATACTGTGACCTTAATGGAATGATGAAGGTTGATATGAAGTCTTGTGATGTACAGGCAGCCAGGATATTTCCTGTAAGTCCTGAGTGGAGTTACAAAATGAGGAAAAATTGGTTGGGGTTTTGAAGCCAAGTAATCTCTAAATATCTGCTCTCTTGATTGCTCCTGAGTAAGCAATTCTCATTAGTCTGCAGCAGTGACAGATAGATGTGGCTCATCCCCTGTTAATCCACAGACCCTCTCACATCAGGGTTTCCTGATGTGATCTGAGTATCTGCTGCTGACTCTGCAGTGACCAGTGGTGAGCCTGGGTGGAAAGAACATTTCTTCCTTCAGTGCTTTTCTTCCTAGGTAAGAAAGGGTGAGGAATAGGGAACTATTCCTCTGGAAGCTCTGGTTGCTTCCAGAAAAGCTTGAAGGCTTCATCCCTCTTGTCCCTCTTCATCATGTCCATCCCTGGAGCACTGCTGCTGGAGCCAGTTATGGTGCTGCTGTGGCTGCAGGAATAGTGGCTGCTCTGCTGGGCTGCTTTCTGAGCTGTGTGTGTTGACCAGCTTGTCTGTGTGGGGAGGTGAACATTCAGGTTGGATTTACTTGCCACAAAACTCTTCTTATGTTATCTTGTCTTATGTTTTGGTGTGATAACATCAGTTCTCTGGCTTTCTGCAGTAGAACTGTGTTACCTGGCTCTTTTTATTGTTCTCTTCAGCTTCTGTTCCCTGATTTTTCTCAGATCTCAGGAATCCTGTCTTCTCAGAGAGTGTATGTGTGTAAAATCACTTGGTAAACCAAGCCGGCTGCTAATGTGGGAGACACTTTGGGAGTGTTTTATAACTCACCAGCCAATTCTGTTGTTAAATGATATTCTGGCATGTTGTCCCCCTTTAGCAGATGCTACAGGTCCAAAAATTGGTGACAGAGCTGCATGGATGGAGTTATCTTAAGTCTACCCCTCATCTGTGCTCCTAAGAGGAGCTTTTGTGTGACATCTGTAGCAGGTTGTGCTCCTGGAAACCAGCTGATCTTGCCTGTGAGCCACTGTCCACACACTTGCTTTCAGAGGCCAGGCTTTTGGGCTGGGACTAGAGCTTTTTCTGCTTAGAACTGAGCTCAGAACCAAGCAAACCTTCTGGCAGGAGCCCTGGTGCAGCCCCCTGTTAACCTCTGGCTCTTTGGGAAATGCGATGCTGTGGCCGTAGCTGCCTTGGAATAGCAAACAGGACTCGTTTGTGCCCAGCAGTTCTTGTTGGGCTTGTGATCAGGAGATTTCTAATTTTTGCTTGGGATGATGCTGCTTAACATGATAAACCACTGTTAAACTCTCCCTGCTTTTGCTCAGTGACTCTTACAAGGAGCAGCCCCCAGCAAATTGTGAACCCTTTGAAATATTTCAGTGAAATGCTTGACAGCAAGTCAGGCTGGTTTATTTCCCTTCTGTTGTGCCTTTTTTTTTTCTTTTTTTTTTTTATTATTTAAGGACTGAATTTTTAGCTTTTCATTTTGCTGGTTGTCACAAGCCATGCATTATTTAAGTAGCTTCTCTTTGTTTTAGCAGCTTGAAACGAGCCAGGAATTCACCTTGCTCGCAGGCTACCAGCAGACACGTTTGCTGCCCGCAGGCACAAAGTAGGAGTTGATGCTCTTCTGTCAACGTAGGTGAGCAACAGTGGTATTGCTGTGTGGGGGAGAGGCTAAAACACAGTGATTTGATGTTGCTGACACCTCTTTCAAGTTGCTCTTTTTTTTTTTTCCCCTCTCCCCCTTGTTCGCTCAGGATCTTAATTCCTACCTCCCCTGCAGTGCTTTCTGTCTGGTCCTGTTGCCTTGAGCTGGAGCCAGGAAAGAACACTTTGAGTCTAGTCCCATCTTGGGTATGTGGGAGTTCAAGATTTCAAATGCTGTAAGTGGGGGGTAAAATACATTACACTGTAAGGAGGGGGGGGTCTCCCCTTGACTGTCGCTTTAAATTCCAGCACCATCTGAGGATGCACAAATGTGAGGTGGAGGGAGCAGATTTGAGTTCTGCTCCAGTTACTGCAGCCCAGAAACTCCTCCATATACCAGGAGATTAAATATATGCACAGCACTGATGGTGCCTATTTTTAGGTTAGGCTAAAAATATGTAACGTGGTGTTTGAAAGGATTTTGCCTGGGTTTTGGAAATCCTTGTGTAAGCATTCTGTGTGCTCCCGAGACCTGCTTCACCTCGTAGCAGCTGATCCGTTAAGTCATAGTAGTGGTTGGGACCAGTGGTTTTGTGGATTATATTTTTGCATGTTTGAGGAGCTTGTCGGGAAGTACATGTGACTTCAGCTGTCAGTCTGAGGTCTAATCAGTTCAGAGAACTGTTACAGGTAAATCCCTGATGGTCGCTGGTTTTCCCAGTAGCTGTTCTGTTAATGGGTCCTTCTCTTCTCAAACTGCTGTAGGAAAACCCATAATGGGGAGGATTTTATTGCCTGTGCAGTGAAATAACTTGGATGTGCAGCATCAGAGGGTGGTTGGGCACTGAACAGGCTCCCCAGGACAGTGGTCATGGCCCCAGGGCTGCCAGAGCTCAAGGAGCATTTGAACAACGCTCTCAGGCACAGGGTGGGATGGTTGGGGTGTCCTGTGCAGGGCCAGGAGTTGGACTGGATGATCCTTGTGGGCCCCTTCCACCTCAGGATATCCTGTGATTCTGAGTCATGAATATGTGGAGTAATATGAAAAGTGGAGGTGAAATTGGGTGGAACCGGGTGGTCTTTGCTGCACTGTCAGTCTTAGAAGTCATGATGAGTTTTGTGTCACCTGGATACTGGATAGGATTCCAGTCCCAAATCCAGCTTGACATACTGTAGTGCAGGTGGGAGCCTTTTAAGAAAAAAAAGGAAAACTAAAAAGCTTGCAAAGTGTTTATCTGGCTGCTGCCAGGTCCTGTGCTTTTAAAACAGTTCTAGTTTCCTGTCCTTGACTGTGTTGCAGGAAAGCTGATGGGCATGTTAGAGCTTGCTTATAGGTAGCCTTATTCTTTACCTATAAATAGGCACTGAAATCACTGAGGTAGCATGGAATAGCTTCTTTCCATCTGTCTTCCTTGCTTTTTTATTGTTGTTTATGTAGGGCAAGACCCCAGGGTGGCTTTGATCTTGTTACTTCACATTCTTGGCGGCCTGGTGCTATAAACATGAATAAACTTCTTATTCATGCCACTAGATGGAACTGGCCCATGCTTATAGATATTTGTTTAAACTTCAGCTCTGTACTGAGTATTGACAAAATGAATTGCTAGCTCTTGGTGGAAGTTTGGCTTTTACCCTCAAAGCAGGGCTTTATTAAGCTCCTTGGGTTTTTATTCAGTCTGTTTTGAAGCAGAAAGAATTGCCAGTTCTTTCCAGGCTTGGCTCTTTTTTTTGTTGCTTTGACTGTGTATACTGTTAATACTATTTATTATATTCCTGCTTTTAAGCCACCATGAGTCTGTTGGTGATGTGTGCACGTTTTTGTCTTGTATGAGAGGGTAGACAGTTCTTTTGTCCCAAATTTAATTTCAGAGTATTTCCTGTACCCCTTTCTCAATGCTGAAGGTTGAAGTGTGCAAGCTCCTCTCTACAGGATCGGAGTAGCTTTTAGAAAATACAACCTTAACGTGTCTCGTGGCTTATCCATCATTCCTGGATGTGAACAGCTGGGGTTTAGCCAGCATTGGACAAAGCACCACTTTGAGCTGTTTGGGAGAAGATTTTTTTGGTGGCTGTGCTGAGCACTTGCAGTGTCGTCCCACCCTCGTTACGTGCACGCCCGGCCCTGCTAATGCACCACGTGTCCCTGAAGGGGAGGAATATCCAACCACTTAGCTCTGCTTGGAGCAGATCCGAGCAGACACCTGTCCAGCCTCTGTCTGCACTGCTTGATGCTGTGAGAGCTGATTTGTGGCTTTCACAAATGTCCTTGTTCCTCCCCAGCCAGCCTGCAAGTGCTGCTTCGCAGTGTTTGCTCGGTGACCTTGGCCACGCTGGTCCCATCTGTGCCTCCATTTCTCCGTATTTTAAATGGCAAGAAGCGTGTTGGTTTTGTTTGCTAAATGACTCAGAGGGCTAAGGATGGAAGAGTAATAACACAGGACTAGGTGGTAGCTATTCCTGAGCACCAGGGAAAATACAACTGTAATAATGTGGGTGTGACCTTTTAGAAAGGCCAGGGTTTTCACCAAGCACACTTAGTGACCCAGCTCTCAAGCACCTGCCTGCAATGATGAGAACAGTGCTTTCATGCCATTCTGGCAAATAAAGTAAGATTTATTTCTCCTTATAAGGCAGAAGCTGAAGAACCTGGTGGAAATGCTGCTGAAATCTTGCTTTTCAGATGCTTTCAAAGCATCACTGTACCCATGATAATCTTGGAGTTGCTTGCTGGGACGAGGGTGTGCTACTGAGGTCTCATGGCTCAATACAAGGGTGGTTGCATATTTGTGGTAATGCTGGTTAGAAGAGGCCTCTGCAGTTCCATCACCCAATGTCCCACTAAATCCCATCACCAGTACAGGGATCAGGTGAACACGGCTGTTTGTAACCAAGCCTTGAAACCTCTCTGCTGGAGGTTCCCTCTGGGGAAGGCTGCTTCAGGCACTGAGCTGAGCTGCTGGGCTTTCTTAAGTGCTAAATTATACATTTTTATTTTTATTATTGTATCTTGTGCATCTGAACTGATTTCTTCATTTTACTGCCCTAGCTGCAACTCCTGTTCCCTGCAGGGGATATTAAGTAGAATTACTGAGGAGGAATTTATACTGCTCTTGTGTACTAGCAAACAGGATTTTATAAGCAGACCCATCATTTTCTTCCAACTTATGCATCAGTAAATATTTAATAGTACAGATTCCTCTGTGCTGCAATAAGGAGATGAATACTTTTCAATAAAAAGACCTTCTTCATTCTCCTTCCAGTGATCAAATTGTGCTCAGAGTTTCTGCATCTGTTCAGCCTCTCCATGATAGGGATTGAGAGCTATAAGCTGACAGAGCATAAAATGGAAACCTCCTGTTCAGGTTGCAGTGATTCCTCTGCCCCTCTAATCCTGTTTGGGAGCCTCTGGTTCATTGTGCCTCTCTGAGAACAGGCTGGGGTAGCAGCGTTTAGTCCCAAAAGCTCAGTCCTGTGAAGGAACCTGATTCCTGTCATGTTCTCCTTTCTGGATTGAGAGCAGATGGTGTATCCTGGAATTGGTACCAAACGCTCACTGTAAATCAGGGAAATCTCTTCTTTAGGATAGCAGATGGTGGCAGGAAAGTGTGCTCTGTAATGTGACTTGTTCCATACTGCCCTGCCAGGGGTGCAGCTTCCTTCTGCCATGCCAATAACGTGGGTGTTGTGGAAGTGAGCTCGACTTCACGGCATTAAGGATGACAGGGGTGGTTGTAATGACATCAGCTGGGATGTTTGAGATGCAAGTTTAGGTGGAGCTGCCCTGTGATTGCTCAGGCAAGGGGCTTTTGCCCCTCTCACCAGTTGATGGTGGAAGGAAAACTGCTGTGTGGGTTGGTGCATCAGGGTTTGGACTTATTGGAAACAGAAGATCCATATATGGAGAGGGGTCGAGTCCTATCTGGACAGAACTGCATCTCTCCTCACTTTGTGATTGCACAGCTGTAAGAAGCTTCATGTCTTCTCCAGAGAAGCTTCTCGGGCCTGATTGCACTCTTCAGTTGACTTTCTTAACTGTTGGAACAGAAGACAGACATGTCTGCTCTTAGAGAAGGGGGTACAGAAAAATATCCTCATGACGAGACTGAGCTGGGAAAGCCAGGAGAACCCCCAAAATGTTCTAGTGGCCTAGTCTTGAGGAAGTCTGCTTAGGGTGCAGTTGAGTTTGCCTTACTCTCTCCTGGTTTTATTTTACCTTCTAGTTCCTCATGTGAGCCTGCCTGCCATGCCTGGGCACTGACACTTGTGGGTACAGCTGTTTAAAATGGCAGAGAGAGGTGGGAATGAAGAAGTGATTAACTTGAACAGCTTCCGCAGTCACAGAGGAAAAGGTGAGTACTGAGTTGTGCCTATTTCCAAAACTCTGCTTACAACCAGCAGGATTCAGAGTCACTAAACTCTCAGGAGTGCCATTGCTGGGAACTGCTGGTGGTGTGTTCTGTCCTGTCACACGCTGCTCTGTTACACTGACTTAGCCACCTCCAGAAAGCTCTTTCATGTTATGCAGGCATGCAAAATATTTGGCTCTTGTCTTTCTCATGTTGTACTGCCTTAAGGGAGATTGCTAACTTCGTGGGAACACCATGTGGAGGTGTTTCAGCAGATCCAAGGAGGATCCATCCTCCTGAGGTCCCCACAGGAGAGAGGCTGGCTGTGTATTTGTGCCCTCATTGGGCTGTGTGCATTGGCACCTGTTCCTCCAGGAGTGCAATTCAAAGTGATGCTTTCTCCATATGCCTGAAAGGTGATAAACAAATACTCATGCTAAAAAATACGCCAAAACTTGTCAAAATTGAGGAAAAGCTTAGTTGTATGTTCTCTCTATAGTACAGAAACCCTGTTTCTGCCTTGAATATATCACTTGTGTTCAGTAGCATCTATATTCCACTCTTGACAAACCTTGAGGGACAAGGTTGTCATCTAACAGAAGGATATCTTCTGCACCCACAGCCACAGGCCCTATCTCAGCCCTGCATAAGGTACTCCTGCAAAGTCTCACTCTTCCAGAAGAGGCCAAATTGCACAGAGAACCTTATCTCTCTGCTAAAATGCTCTGCACGTTAGTAAAAGAAAATGCAGTGCCCCCGAGGTACAGAAAGTTCAGGATTTCTCTGCAGAAGTATGGCTTGTTCAGAGTAACTTCTGCAGCACCTTGACTTGTGCTGAAGTTTGGGATAGAAGACCCTCTTCATGAGTGCCAGTGACTGTTCCTGCAGGTGCTGTTGTGGTGAGCTGGGGCTGTGCAGGCGTTTTGCTCAGGGGCTGGGGAGGGAGGAGTGGCTGTAAGAGTAACTTGCAGAGGGATCGGTGACCTCTGAGTGCTTCTTCCCTGTTGCTGCAGTGCAGATGTGAAGATGGCTCTTTCAGGTGTTTTGGTACTACATGTGCCCTGTAAATTCCAGTTTTACCTTGAGCAAAGAGCTAATTTTAGCTTTACTTGCTGTTCTGCAGACTGGATAAACCACAGGGATGAAGGCCTTGTCACGATATCAGATTCCTCGGATGAAGAATTACCTTCGTCACTGGAAACGCCGGAAAAGCAGCAGCCTGAGGAAGATGATGATGATGATGTGCTCATCTTGGCAGAGGTAATTTTTCATTCTTGTAGTTGCTCTGCTTTGTTCATGGCCTGTATAGCTAAATCTTGTGCAAACATCTGATGCATTCCTCTGAGTCCTCTGTGGTTATAGCAATCTACTTAGGATGTCTGAAATAATGTTGAAATGATGGTGTTTGGCTGGCTTTATTTAATCATATTTGGGCACAGGGCAGGAGAACTAGACTGTTAAACTACATTGTAGCTAAAGTTCTACTTAACCAAGGTTGTAGCTCCCGTAAAGTTGTCTGTCTGAATCCAGAGAGGTGGTGTGTTGTGTAAGAGGACTTGATCTTCCATAGAAGGTGGGTTTTCAATCCATGCCTTGTTTGATTTATATATACACCTTGTATGCTTAACATTCCTCTATGCTATTTGCATTCATGTTGGGCTGTTGCATACACTTAGATTTTTGCAGCATTTCTTATCTATATTATCTTAAGAATGTATTCCGCTTTTGTATGAAATTAACCAAAAGCATTGAGAAAATAGGTTGCAAAGCTGAGCTTTCTGTTTCTTAGTTGAAAACAGTAGCAGAGAACACTCAGGCTCTGTTGGCATACAGCAGTCTTGTCTGCCAGAGGCAAGAATAAGGCCAGAGATTAATGTTTTGAGCTTTAGTTCCTGCTTGTTTAAATAAGTTGGTGAGAAGATAAATATGTCATCAGTTAGTTCCGTGTTCCCAGACTATTTTACTGGAAGGGACGTGGATACTGAGGTGAGCTTAGGAAATTGTTCCACTCTGAAAGTCCTGTGCATCCTCGGTTCTGCCCAAATTTTCTCTTAGCACCTGGGGACAGGCTGAGGATGGAGTTCAGTGAAATAAAGGTGTGTGGGTTGCAGTTTTGTGCCTTATTAAGCATCTTGCTAAACAGACTGTGTATCTGCTCCCCATCAGATGTTTGATTAGATGCAAAAGCATCTGGAACAAGGATTCTGACACGCAGACAGGAATTTCTGCTTACCACTTGTCTGTGTTCTTTTCAGATCCCGAAGCATCAGCAGCCTCTGCGTGCCAATGTCATCAGACCTGCTGCTCCATGGCAGGGTGCAAGCACTGGGGGAGAAGGAGGATCTAAAAGTGCTGCTGAGCCCTCGAGGAGCACAGATCTGCAGGATTCAGCCCTGCTGTGCCAGGGAGACGGGTATAATCACATGGTGGAGGGCAGTGCTGGACCAAGCAGGGATGAGAGTGTGAACTTTGCACTGCAGCAGCCTGGACCCTCTGAGCTTAATGGCCCCAGCTTTGAACTTACAGGTAAGCAGGAGCCTGGTCCAAGTTTGGTGCCACCAGTAAAGATGAGTCCACAGCCTCTAGTTAACACAGAAACTGTGAGTCTAGAGAATGCAGACCTTCCAGCACAACAGGAGGAAAAGGTGGAAGCCCAGGAATGGCGAGAGAACGTGGAGACAGAGCAAAACCTCGAAGGAACAGCTGCTGCAACCACCACAAACCAGGAGACCCAGGAGAACAGCCAGCTGCAACACCGGTACTTCCCAACGCTGGAAGACGAGCCGCGCGCTGTAGCAAATGGTTGTGCTCCTCAGCAAGGGCAGCCGGAGGCAGACCCAGGATCTTTGAGGGCTTATGGAGAGAAGGCTCCTGGGCCAGCCTTCCCCCGACCGGAGCCACAGCAGGACGGGATTCCAGGCCCTGCTTCTCCCCAGCCGGCGCATCCGCCCGAGGAAACGGGTCAGCAGGGAGGGAGGGACAATGAGCAGCCGGGCCCGGCCTTCCCCGCACAGGGCTCTCAGGAACTCGGCTCCAGCAACGTGCCAGAACAAGGAGCTGCTGGGCAGGAGCAGGACCTCACTGCGCTGCTCATCAGAGAGACAGTGAGTATTCCCAGGGCTCGTTTGCCTCCTGTGTGTGTGATGTTTTCAGGCAGGTTTTTCAAGGTGTGTAGAGTTTCACTTGCTCGGAGCACAGCCCTGGTGGCTCCAGCTGCAGATCCTTGTTGCTTTGGCTGGTGCTCAGCCATGCACCAGGTGAGGAGCATGTGATGAACTGTCTTGGAAAACTGTAGTTTGGGGTGCAATAACGTGGGTTGGTTCCCTGAAAGGCTTCTGCCCTCTTGGATCTGCTGGTTTGGTTTTGTTTGGCTGATTCCTAACACAACTCTGTAGAGCTGTTTTAGGAATGGATGTAAAGCTAACTGAGCAAACCTGAGACCCCAAACACTGGCAGAGGGATAGAGGGTGGGTTAGAGAAAGCTTAGAGACATGTGGCTGAGAACCATGACTGTTTTCAGCTGCCTCTCCTGCGGTAGTTTGGTCTGTGGCCAAGGGGTAATAGTTGCCCTTGCAGTGTGGATTTCCAAGCAGTAGCACTGAGGGATAAGATAACTGGACATGAGTCCTCATGCTGCTTATCCAGTAATGTTAACTCCACATGCTCCTTGCTGACTCTGCGTGTGAAGGTTGGCATGAGGGGCACTGGCTACTTAACCACCAAGAAGGGCACTTCTTATCCCTTGGGCAACATGGTGTAAATTTCAAAAATAAACCACAATAAAAATGTGGTGATTCGTGTGTCTAATGTTTGCACACTCCTCCCCTTGATTGCTAGGGAGGAAGGATCCCTCTCGATGCCTTAATGAGTATTTTTTTGCAAACAAGCTTATTCTACTGCATCTGTATTTTACACCACCCCAGCCCTTCCTAGTCTTCCCTCCACATCCCATATCTGATTCTACTTGGGAAAACTGGAGGTTGAGGAAAATATCTTTTTTCTATTTTTTTTTCTACTGCTATTTTTTTCCTAGCAGTCCAACAAAATTCAGTTCTTTCCAAGTAAGACCTCGTTGATCGGTGACTTTGTTTGAGATGGGTAAGAAGCTGCTATTGCATTGTCAGGGTTGCTTGACAACCCTGACCAGTCCAGTCTTGTAAAGCAAAATATCACATGGTGCAATCATTTGTAATACTTGTACAGAAACGTGAGAGAGAGCAGCAAAGAGTGTTCTCTGCTATGTGACAAATGCTGGGAGAGCCTTCCCAGAAATGCCAGTAAAGGTTTGTTGTCTGTCCTGGTCTCGTTGCTGGTGTGTCTGAGTGCTTTGGGTGGGTATTTGTGGTGTTGGTTTTTTCCTTTTGGAATGTTGTATTTCAGCACACAATCTGGAACTCCTTAAGGTCTGGCTGAAGGTAAATATTAGCTTTCCTTGTGTTGTAGGTCATACCTACGTGCCTCCCCTGCTTCCATCGAGTCTGAATCTCTCCTTAGGGCTCGTGGACTTTCACATCATTACCCACACTCTTCCTTTGAGAAGGAGCTGTTGGCAATCATGCTGTGGAGCAAAGGAAAGCCAGCAGCTTGCAGTACCCAGGCTGGATGGATATAAATGGTCTCTTGACCGTTTTGTCCCCAGTCTCAGGAGTGTGCCAGATAATTACCTATGAATCCCTGTCTTTGGTGCTGTTGCTACGTGTGCTACACAGCTCCTCAAATACCTACGTAACCTTTAGCTTTTCCTACTGTAGGAAGCAAGATTCCCAGATGTGACGAAGGAATATATTGAAGAATTAATCATCATCAAGAACTGCTATGACTTAAATGTGTAAGTACAGAGCCAAGAACCACACTGTGTCCTACAACCTGCAGCACATTTCCATGTCCACACCAGCCAGTGATGCTGTTCCAGAGCACATCCAGTCTGGGACTCAGCACTGCCTTGATGCTGCCAAAGAGCAGAGTGGTTTTGGTTTCTACTTGTAGTAGAGCTGTTCTTAAATACTCTGTAATTCTGATATTGTGCTGTAGCTTCTCTGGTTTTAAGATCATTTGCTAATTTAAAGATATTACATATAATTTAGTCTTATCTAATACTAGGGTTCTTAAAAAGGATGAGTATCAGGATTAAGGTGTTAAGATGACTTTTATAAAACATGGTATGAAGGTGTGTTGTTGAGTTCTGAGTTGGAGAAAATGGTTCCCTGCCTCTTCATTTCACTGGTTGTTGGCTTTTTCCAGGTGAAGCTAATACTGGCTTGGACTTCATTATTTAGTGTCATGATGTTGGCTTTTATCCCCTTTACTTGCTTAAGTAGCAGCGGTGCTGCTTGAGTTCTCTCACATCACTTTTTACAGATATAAAATAGAGCAAGCACGTTTAAGGGCTGGTAGGATTGGTTCTAGAGATCTACTGAAGTACTAATTTTGGTCAAACTGAGCATAAATATGAGCTAAGAAGTGAAATAAAAGGAGCTGAAAGAAATATCAGTGCGAGGACTGTTGCTTTCCAAATTACATTAACAGCTCTGGGATACCCTAGTGTTCATCACGCTGGAGATCTCTGGGAGTCATGTTAGAGTCAAAAGTTTAAAAAAAAAAGTGATTAACCTTATTGCTGAGTTGCATCATTTCCCTGCCTTTCTGGGTGCAGTTTGCAGAGCTGAGGAGCGAAGGATTGCGTGTGTTGGCACCAGCGGCACTGGGGGGGAGAGCGGCTTGAAGTAAATCACTTGTGACTGGTGTCTGATGCTTGGTGGCCTCTCTTTCTCTCTCTGCGACTGTCACTCCTGTCTCCAACACGTTATACAGGAATGAAGAATAGGTGTTGGTTGCCAGAGTATTCACTTGTATAAATCCAATGCCCTTTCCAGCTAACTGGGGCACTAATTAAGCGGTATTTAAGTGCGTGAGACTTAGAATTAGTTACTGGGCCATAAATAAGTTAATGGCAAGGAACTAAGGATGATCCCATCCATTGGGCATAGATTTCCTATTCTGCTGCTTTGCCTGTGTTGTGAAGTAGTGTCTCCAAAGTAGGGCTTGGTTAGAAAGTCATCAGGCTGTAACTTTTCTTGTCTTTCCAAAGTGCTTTCCCTGCAGTGGTGGAGCAAATTTTGGGCATCCATACCAAGGACTGGGTGCCCCTTGAGATGGATGGTTGTGGTGGGGCTGTAGAAGACCAGCAGGGCCATTTCTTGGGGCGATTGGTCTGTTGAGGTTGGGCATCTGGCTGCAAGACCCTCGCAGACTGTGTGAAAAAACTCATCTTTGTGTCCTGCGGGGATTTAGCGAAGCCTGATGGAATTAAATCGTACTATCGGCTTCTATCGGTCTTAATGTGTTCCTTCCCTTTCTGCTCCCGAAATCTCTTCTCTCCCATTGTGTGCCACAGACCCAGTGAGATGAAAAGGTGCTTCCAGGCTTCCCTGTAGGCAGCTACAGTGTCTGCTCAGCGGTGCGTTACCCACTTACTGGATGATAAAGATTTCTTCTCGATATTTTTATTCCTTTAACCAAACTATCTTTTGAGTTGTCACTGCAGCTTTTGTATGAGAACAAATGGGTCAAAGCACTGGTCAGCCTCGCTGGCAGGGACTCTTTGATCTCCACGGTGTGTCAAGCTGAATCAGGCTTGAAATATAATAAATAAGGGTGGCTGGGTTTGGGCAGGGATGAGGCTTTTAACCAGCTCTGTGTCCTGTGGTGCAGATATTAATGAACAGTGCCGTGAGTGTGTGTGGTTGTGCGCCCGGACCCACTTAACTAATTGTCAGACACTGAAGGTTAACATCCCCAAAAACCTTGAGTGTTGAAATGGCAGCGTGCAGGATAGTTCAAATGTATCCTGACCGTTTGAGCTGCGGTTTGAGCTCCTTGAAGTTGCCGTTGTGTTGAATTAAAACAGTTATCTTTCACCAAAGGGATGGGGGGAGCTGGGAGCTGAAAGCTATTAAATGCCCAGTGCCGAGATATTTTGTTGTTTTCCCCTCCCGAAATGATCGTCTTAAAACCCAACTGATGTGAAAGATAAGATGTGGGAGCTCCTCTTAGCAGGGTATCATCTATTCAGCTTTTGTGTGCGGGAGCATTCACACTCGGTCAAAAGCTTCTGGCTCAATATGTCAATACCTGATTAAGCAAAAAGAAATGCCCCTGCTTTGAATGTGAAAGCAGGGCTAAAGTAATCGTGCCTTGATAGTGGGTTAATGCTTCCAGCCAGTTCAGATTTCTTAATTAGGGCCTGATTTCTGACATCGGGAATGTAAATTAGCTGCAATTATGTCTTTGCTGCAGCCTAGCACCTTCTCATTCCAATAGTTTTACAAATGTTAATTGCTTGTCCTGGCTCCTTTCAGAGGGATCTTATTCTACAGCTGGGGAAACTGAGGAATAGCTTCTGTTACTTGACCCAGCCAGCACAGCTGGTTGGTGAGGGCTGAGAACAAACTGTGAGAGTCTGATTGAGCCCGACAGCCTGCAGCAGGCTGCCCTTTCAGAAGGGCTGCTGGGGTGTTTGTGGTCTCCAGCAATAGCATATTTGGAAACCGCTTGCTGAGTCTTTTCTAAGCTAAAATAGTCATTTCAACTACATTTACCTGACAATCATAACTATTTGTGATAGGACCTCAGGTATGCTGCATTTACAGGCTATTATGCAATTTTGTCAGCAATTTTAGTGATTATTTTCTGAGTGCTGTTCTCACCAGACCAGTTTCTACTGGAATTTGGATAACGCTGGTGTAATTTCAAGCTTTATTACAATGAAACCTGTATTCAGAGTGTGTATTGCATGCACACATAGTTTAAACATGTTTTTGTCACTGCTTTATTTGTGGAATCACAGAATGGTTTGAGTTGGAAAGGATCTTAAAGATTACCTGATTCCAGCACCCTGCCACAGGCAGGGGCACCTTCCACTAGACCAGGTTGCTCTGGTTGCTTTAATGTGATGGTAGATTGAGAATGGAGGCTTTAATTCAAATTTGAATCTGTAATATTTTGTTCAGGAAGACCTCAACCTTTCACCGGTTTTGCAGGGATTTTTAGGCTGTTTTTTCCATAGATGATTAATAGCTTACCCATACAAGCTTCACATATGTAAATTTTATCTTTTCAGACTTTGTAACTTTCTTCTGGAAAATCCAGATTACCCAAAGAAGGAAGGCAGAGTGGTTTTGAATCCCAGCAGCAGTCTGCTTGCCAGCCAAGATGAGACAAAGGCAAGTGAGAGGATCCTCATCCCCAGTGTGCCTCTGGGCCAGTCTGTTCAGCCTGAGTGGACCTTGGGATGTCTGGTTTGATTAGCGTGTGTTTGCAGAGTGCTTGACTGAGCTGTGCTTTCACAGGAGGCCCCTGGGCATGTTTAAGACGGTGTTAAATAGCAATAGTTAGTTGCTTGCAAGACGATTTCCAAGACTTTGCTGTGGCATAGCTGCAGTGTCTGCTCCTTTGCCTCCAGCGCCCGTCTGCCCTGCCTGTCACTGCCCCATCTGAAGTGTTCATTTTGATAACTGAGACAAGAATTCCACAGTCGTTCTCCCATGAAGTACCCTCGACCCTCAGGTCTCTCTTGGGAGGCCTTTAGGCATTGCCTTTTGGTCTCTCAACTGCGAATCTCCCTACAGCTGCTTGATTTTATTTGTTTTTAAAAGTCCATTTGACAAAAAAATTCTCTGAGCTTTGAGTATGTTGAAGTAGCTCTCTGTAGCCTGAGAGAGAAATGTTGGATACCCTTTTCTACCCTTGGAAGCATCTCTCAACCTCGAGCCAAATAAAGCTTCACCCTTTATAGTAGCCTAAATATTCCCTCTCCTTGCTGTCTCATGCAGCCACACACAATGGTTTAAAACTATATTTTACCTTGTGCAGGTCACCTACACAGACACACAGACCAATAGGCTGCACACCTATGCCATGCTCTGGTTATATAGGTGATTGTTATATGGGTGCTCAGAACTGGGTGCCACATAACCTGAATTTTGGGTGGTCTTGCAGAAGGTCCTGATCACTGAAAGAGCGATTTGGGGTGTTTTTGTGTGTGTTTATAGCAGCCTTTTAATCTCTTTCATTTTCTCCTTAGGTGCCTAAAGTGGACTACTTTGACTTTTCCAAACTTGCCCCCCTCGACCAGCGGTGCTTTATCCAGGCAGCTGACCTGCTCATGGCAGACTTCAAAATGCTGAGCAGCCAGGACATCAAGTGGGCACTGCACGAGCTCAAGGGACACTATGCAATCACACGAAAGGTTCTCCAGCTCAAGTCTGTTTTCCTTCCTAGGCTTATCTCTCATGTCTGCAGAGAGCACTGAGACGTCTTTTGCCTTACTGTACCATCTGCTAGTGTGTGATTATGGGTTTTATAATAATCTTCCTTTCCTTTTAAGAAGTTTTAATCCATTTAGCGGAGATTTTTGAAATTTATTGGCCAGACAGAATGCTGCAGGAAGTTTTTACTTTCTCTAATGGGAGAGCTGGGGAAACACTGTCTAGTTGATGGTGGGTGATGCATTAAACTGGGAAGTGTTCCCCTACGGTTGCTGCTGAAGTGCAGTATAATTGCCAATAAAACCCAGACATTTAGCTAAATCTTAAAACATTTAACTGCTGCTGTTAGTTAACTGACTGCATGTAATTGAAAAGAAGCCCAAGCCTCAATGTCCTGTTTCTTCTTATTATGACTTGTGGAATGAGTCCTGTATTCCACATAAGAGCTTTGCTGTGATGGAGATGCAAAGACACTTGTTTTAAGTATCAACAAACTGAATGTCAGTGTGGCTTCAGGCTTTTTACTTGGATCTGCTTCTCTGATACACTCCCCTTGCTTGAGCTTCTTTCTCTACTATTCCATGACTTAACTAAAACAAAAGCTTCTTGTCTCTTCACTTGATTGACTGAGCACTGAGTATTTTTCACCTCAGTTTTTTAAACAAAAAAACCAAACCCAGCCACAAAAAAAACCCAGACCAACTCTGTTTATTACTGCACTGTGATGCAAGTTATTAGATGAGGTGTTATGAAGTACCATTCAACTAGTTTGTTTTGATGGAATGATTACTTTATGAGTACATAACAAGGTGAGCAGAGGAAGGATGTAAAATTGCCTCTATATTGGCTGTTTGGCTTTTTAGTTTTTGGATCAGTCCTATGCCAATGTTTGTACTGTGCTTCAGCTTGAAGTGTATGCTTTTGCTTTCTTCCAGGCACAGGATTTAAGTCTGTCTGTTGTTTTCTAGGCCTTTTCAGATGCTATCAAAAAATGGCAGGAGCTGTCTCCCGAAACCAGTGGGAAACGAAAAAGGAGGAAAGAAATGAATCAATATTCATATATAGACTTCAAATTTGAGCAAGGTAAATGCCAAGCTGCCTGTGTTGTGTTCTCTGTTACTGTGAACAGAACTGGCTTGCAGCAGAAAGCACTGTTCTTAAAATGGGGATATGGTCCCAAAACAGCTGAGTTTCTGTCACTGCCTGGTATCTGTTTTGGAGATCCTCTTCATTAGTGCCTCTGCTTGGTACAGGGCTGTTTGAGATGCTGAAGTTACACAGCTGGTGGCAGGTGGAGGACGAAGGGTTTAAGCTTTGTTCTGGCTGCTCCATTCCCATTTCATTGTGCCTTTAACTCTGCTTCAGGGGACGTGAAAATTGAGAAGCGCATGTTCTTCCTGGAGAATAAGAGACGGCACTGGAGGTCCTATGACAAGCTCTCTCTTCTCCCACCGGTGCTGCTGGAGCAGGAATTCTATGAGCAGAAAGTGAAAGAGATGGCAGAGGTGAGTGATAGGAGCTGCTTTGATCTTCTGGTGCAAACAACTTCAACAACTGTCAAGGGTTTGGCCCTAAATGTGAAAATCTGTCTCTTACAGAAATTCAAACACTGAACCAAATATTGAATAACTCTGTTTGCCCCTTCCCTACCTGTTAACACATATGTCTCTTCCCAAGTAACTCAATTTTGAAGGAAAGAAGCCAAGCACAGAGTTTCATATTTACTTAAATGTGCAGCTGCTACTTGTGCAAACACCATTCTGGGCCTTTTTTTTGCTGCAAAGTGGTAAAAACTCTACTAACTAATTCTTTCCTCTAACTGCTAGCAGGCTTCTCTGCTGCTTTAGGGCTTGTAATTGCAGCTCAGTGGTGGTGGTGAGTAATGACCAGGCCCAAGGCAGGCTGTCCACTCACTCTCCCTTCCACAAGTTGGCAATCCTGTGGCTCCAGAACGGCTCATCCTGTGCTGAGAACTGTGTGTCTTGAAGCAGAACCCTGGAACACTTGCTTGTGTGTTGTCTTCCCCTCATAGGCTGAGGAAGGACTGAATTCACAGCTCTGCACCCACAGTCCTCTCTAAAGCAGCTCCTTGAAGATCCTTGTCTCTTAGGCAGATGGATAGTGTCTCCTTTGAAACACAAAGCTCATGTTTTCTGGAGGGGCCCGTTGGGTGACATCATCTCTGCCCGTGGAAACCTGAACCAGCAGCCCTCCATGATATAGAATTTAGTTCTTTGTTCTTGCTGCCTTTGCTTCTCCCATCTGTTTTAGCTGAATCATAAATAGCTTAATGGATTGGAGGGCTGGGCTGAGTGATGTTATAAGCAGACAGCGAGCCTTTTATGGTGGTTTGCAAGTCCTGAGATAATGTAAATGAGTGTAGAGTTTGGAAAATTGCTTTATCTGTTCTGTAAATACAGATGCACGTCTCTCTTACAGCATGCAGACTTCCTCCTGGCTCTGCAGATGAATGAGGAACAGTATCAGAAGGTCAGTATCTATAATGTGATCTATTGAGTTCACCTTATGCATAGACACTGTTTTGCACTTCTCACTTCACAGATTCTTTTGGCTTCTAGAATGGAGCTTTTCTGAAGCTGTATTTGCACTGTGCCGCTCTTGCTGAGCTGGCAAGACCTGTGTAGTGTGTGTTGGCTGGCTTTTAGGAAAGGTAGACAAGAGCTGAGGCCAGCAAGACAGTATTGATGCACATAATGATCTGTAGTAATTCAGCTTGTATCTGCACTGCTCAGAACAAACATTGCAATAGAATAGCACCAGGTTGGCTCTTGCTCCCACCATTATGGCTGTTTAAAAGAGATCCACTGCTGTTGGAGCTTGGCCGGTGGGAAGGCCTTCCTCAAAGAAAAAATTCTTCAAAACCTTGAAAATCAGGTCTTTGACTTCAAGAAAATTTAGAGAACACTGCAGCAGCTGTGGGTTACCTTTTTGGTCACAGTGCCCATTTCTCTTCGAACTTTGGAGAACTTTTTAGCAGTGGCAAGCTTCTCCACCCCTGCAGTGAAGAGGCCAAGACAAGGTCTCTCCAGGCAGATGGCAAATGTTCCTTTAGAGAGTAACAGATCCGAGCCTGGGTTTTCCCATGGCTGGTGTACACTCTGCTACTTCCCTGCCACTGCAGCTTCCCAAACCCAAGATGCTTCTCTGCCTGTGGGCTAAGAATTATTAATTACCATGTGTTCTGTAGCTTTTTGGAACCTGTCAAGCAGGACAAGTAGCTATTAAGTGACTTAAAACTGAGTTTCTGGTTGTGCTTCGGGAATTTTGACCACCAAACAGGATCTCTGACGGAACAGTGTGTATCTGTTGCTGGTTTTTAGGATTAATGCTGGCATTGTTTATGGCTTGCAGTTGTGTGTCTGTGTGTGTGTGTTGCTATAGCTATGGATGTTTTGATGCTGATGCTGATTCCTCTGGTGGCTGCAGGACGGGCAGATGATCGAGTGCCGCTGCTGCTACGGGGAGTTTGCCTTCGAAGAGCTGACTCAGTGTGCAGACGGTCACTTGTTCTGCAAGGAGTGCCTAATTAAATATGCTCAGGAGGCAGTTTTTGGCTCTGGGAAGGTAAGAATTTCACAACTGAACAAGGGGAAAATGGATGGATTGCTGTTGGGAGATGACAGTGCTGTTTGTTTCACATTGTTGCTTAAAACAGATGTGCTTCCCAGGAAATATTTGAATGGAATGGTCTCCTGAAATCCAAGTCGGTCTCACCATCACGCGAAGCCAACAACTTCACAACGAGATTGTTGCTCAGGATTTCAGTGTTACTGACCTCCATTTTTTGTGCTGTATGCTTAGCAACTTGATTATTAGGAAAACTTTCTGCAACGTTCATAGTAACAACAATAACTTGTCTGGGTTTTATTTTTCACTTAATAAACCAGTGGTATGTGCACAGAGAACACTTATCTCTCTCTTAACTTGGCTGGTCTCCTCCTAGCTGAGTGTTTATCCTTCATAATATCAATGTGATCCCAACTTAATTTGGGGGTTGGTTCCTCTATGGTACTACTAACCTTCTTAGCCTCTGATTTAGGTAGCAATTATCCTGGTACTTAGCTGAGCTATAAACAAGTCATTAGCCTGCGCTGAGGTAAATGTGCTCCTTTGCCTCAGGATATGATGCTCAAACTGTGGGATGCTGTTGTGCTCTGGGATCTGTTTCATGTAAATGTATAAACTGGCAGCTGTATTTTATATGACTTAATTGAAAAGAATGCACCATGCTGCTCGTGAGCAGAGTGCTGGTTCTCAGCAGAGAATGTACAGTAATAACGGGCCAAGACGTGGTCACAGTGGACTTGGAGTGAGCTGTGATCCCAGCTGTCAACAGCATCTTCATGCCCGGTGTTTGTTTGAGGCCTGGTTTGTTTAACTAGTCTTGTTCTTTCTGTAGTGAGCCCATTCTCTGGCAGTCATCTTGGGTAGATTTAGATTAGGTATTGGGGAAAAAAACTGGGGAGAAATCCTTCCCTGTAAGGGTGGGGAGGCCCTGGCACAGGTTGCCCAGAAAAGCTGTGGCTGCCCCATCCCTGGAAGTGTCCAAGGCCAGGTTGGATGGGACTTGCAGCAACCTGGGATAGTGGAAGTTCTCCTTGCCCAGGGCAGGAGGGTTGAAACTGGATGATTTTTTAAGGTCCCTTCCAACCCAAACCATTCTGGGATCTGCTGACTTAAACTCTTATTCTCTCTGAGCGAGGCTCTGCACTGGTGTATTTGGTAATGTTCTGGGTACTGAGTTTTGCTTTTTGCTTGTATCATACTGAACCTGAGTTCTCTTTCCAACCCCAGTCAGAGCTCAGCTGCATGGAAGGCAGTTGCACATGTTCCTTCCCCACCAGTGAGCTGGAGAAAGTGCTTCCAGAGAACATCCTCTGTAAATACTACGAGAGGAAAGCTGAGGAGGAGGTGGCTGCTGCCTGTGCAGATGAGCTTGTCAGGTGAGTGTCCTGCAGAGGATACTGCACTTACTGCTGTAGAAAATTGTTCTCTGAAACCCTAAATGCGTGCTGACTCTGAGATAGGCAGCTTTCAAAGAGCTGGATTATAAATTCAGGCTTCTGCCTTCCCAGGTCTGTTTTTATTCTGCCTTTGACTAGGAGCAGATTAAAATTCAATAGACTTGTCTCCCCCAAGACTTGCTTGCCAGCTCTGTGCTGATCCTCTAAATTACACGGTCAAAAGCAGTGCTGAGCATATAATATTTTGATTGCAAACAGGGAAGTGATCGAAGAAATATGAGCAAAAAGGCAGCAGTCAGCACATCCTGGCGACAGGCATTGGGTTGGCAGCCTTAGTAACTTCCACGCAGCTATTTGACTAAATCTGCTTTCAGCAAAGCTATGTTTGGCACTCTGCATTAATGGCATCTTATTTTGGGCTGCAGGTGTCCCTTCTGTAACTTCCCAGCTTTGCTGGACAACGATGTGAAGCGGTTCAGCTGCCCTAATCCCCGCTGCAGAAAGGTAATTGGGGGATATTTGCCATTTGGTCTCTTCTGGAGTGCTGGGCAGGAGAGCTGGGAGGACAACTCACACTTCCTAGCGGCAGATGAATGAATATCTCACGTGGCTCCACAGAGCAGCAGACAAAGTGTTTGCTGGATCCTACTGATAATCCCTCAGTGTGTGGCTGAACAGATGAATTTCAGGGCACTGTTGATAAGAGAGCAGGATTCCTGTCTTGTCTTGAAAGATGTTGGATAAAAGAGCTTATGGATGGTGCAGATTGTTGTCTTGCCTATATAGAAGTGGTTTAGGTGAACAAGGAACTGGATGTTTAAAAGTCAAAACCAAATTGTAATCTTTTATCTAATAAAACTTAGTTGAGAATGAGCTGAAACAGCCTTACATGCAATCCTTGAGGGAATTAGAATCTGCATTTTTCTTTCATATGGTTGCCTGAATAGAGATCCAGTTGGAAGTGACAGAAAAACTGACTGGAAGAGCTCGCTGAAATGTCAGCCATTCCAAGGGCACCAGATCTTTGTGCTCCTCTCAGTCTGCTAATGGCCATAACAGGAGAATCATCAGGCCAAGTGGGGGGATGGAGTGGGGGAAAACTTGCTGCTTCTGCACCATCTGTTCCGGGGAAAAACAGAAGCACAGAAATGTGTTTCTCAGTCTTGTGAATGTGTGCAGGACCCTTCTTACATTTCCAGTGAGCCAAGGCAGGGCAGGATCAGTGTTTGCCACTGAAACTACAAGGCCTCTTATGTGACTGTAGCCACAACAATGAATTTGATTTGGGGAACTGTCTGTCCCCCAGCAGAGATTTCTGCAAACCACTGAAATTCCTCTCAAGGGCTTTAACCCTACACTTGTAGCTGTCATAGCTTTGGGCTCTCACACTGAGGTGGTATCCCTGTTTGCCTGTATTGTCTGGAGAAGCTGAAGTTGCCAGCAGTGGACTTTGCATTCTGACATGAAAATTGAACTTTCTGCGGGGAGAAATCTGCTTATGAAAGATGCACAATTCCATTTTAAATGTCTAATCTCCAGACAGGTTTTGCTGACATCTACTCCTTGCATGTGGGAAGGGAATGTAGAGCTGATAGATTGTCCCAGTGTTGGAGCGAGGACGTTTGTTAGGCACTAGGTGGCAATGTTGATTCACGTTTAAATATCAGTTTTTTTCTTACTGCTTTTGCAAAAACCGAATTGTTTTCAAAATGTACATGTCAGCAGCACAGAACAGAATTTAGGCTTGAAAAACATGAACCCTTCAGTGTGCAAAACGAATTGAAGTTTTTTCCCTGAAATGTGTAATGCAGCAGAGTAGCTGTGGTAAGAGGGATCACTGCTGAAATGTTCCTTTCCTTCTGCTTTGCTGTTTCATTTCCTTCCCCGTGTACTGCCTGTTCCCCCCCTCCCCGGGGTTACAGCATTCCAGTGGGCTGGATTTCTGGTTTCCTGGACAGCTTGTGTTGATTCATTAGCTGAAAATCTGCTGAGTAGCTTTGTGCTCTTCTTAGGAAAAGTCTTTAACGACTTTAGGATTTGAAGTCGAGGGTGAGGAATTTGGAGAGCAGGATGTGGTGTCTCACGGCATCAGCTGCAGTGGTGCTTCATGTTCCCGCTATCTCAGTCTCTCTCCAGAATGGAGAATTTCAGTTAATGCTCTTCCTTGCAGGAAACAGTTGCCCTTAGGGAGGAAAGGGCTAATCTAGGGAACTCCAGAGAGGTTGGAGAGGATGCTTTGGCTTTGCTAGCAGTGCCTCTGGCAGACTCTGTGGTGGTGATGACTGATTCTGGAAGGAGTCCCTCTCTGCTTGGAAGGACTGCACTCGCACAGCTGAACCTAAAGTGAGGGGAAGTGTGGAAAGGGGAAGGTCAAAATGTGCCTCTCCTGAAACCTCAGGGCTCTGCAAGGGTGGGGAGAGGAGGACCAGATGGTGGACCTATTGTATCCCTGTGCTCCATCACCTGAGCCTTTGTCTTGCTTTGGGAGTTCATGTTGATACTCTCAGGCTTTCCTTCAAATCTTGCAGGGAGGTTGATTCACATTTGCGCCGGCTATGGATATGTTGTAAAGCAAGTGATGGGAACCAGCTGGAAGCTTTAATTTTGGCTGTATATCTGTATGTGGGCTCCACAGTAAGAGCTCTATACATACCCAGGTCACTGCTTATGCATCTCACCCGTAGTTCCAGTCATTTGAGCCTTGCAGGGACCAAAATGTTGCAAACTGTAACCTGGCCAAGGGGCAGAGCTGCTGGTACCCTCTGTCAGTGCAGGGGGAGCACAGGGATGAGCTGGGACCATCTGCCAGGGCCACTCTGGCTCCAGCTGTGTGGTGTTAAGTTTGGCTGCTAGCTAGGTGGCCAGGGCTTGAATCTTAATATTACAAACAGCAGGGTGGAGGAAAAGCTCAGTTAGGCAAGGAAAAATGTCGTGCAAACCACCCTTTCTGCGTGTGTGCAGTGTGAGCTGGTGCTGGGGCAGAGGCAGCTTTCACTCAGACCTGTCCGAGTGTGGAGGTTTTGCTCCTCAGTGGGTTGCTCAGTGCACACAGAGCTGCCTTCCCGCTGACAGGAGTTTTTTTCCAGCCTGCTTGGTCAACCTCCATCTTGGAGGGATCCCTGCATGGAAGCAGTGCTCAAATTTATCATCTTTCACGATGTGCATTTCTCCTCCCAGCACTGCAGGGGAACCTAAAGCTGGTGATCCTGTAAAACAAGGAAAGGCACATGTTGCTCGTGGAGTTGTGCAGCACTGGGAAGCGAGCGTGCACTTTTGCACGGTGGGGGAAGTGCTGTTTCCCACCAGAAAAGGAAGCCCATCCTCTCTGCTCAGCCTCCCTCCTCCCAGGACCCCACACTGTTGAAGACAAGGCTTTTGTTCCCAGCTGCTGCCGCTGTCCCTGGCGCTGCGTTGCGGGAGAGGGAGATGGTTTCCCCTCTTTGCAGTCTCAGCACAAAGCACTGCAGGGCTTTCAGCCAGCAAGAGATGGGGAGGTGAAAGCTGCTGTTGCCATGGAAATAATGCATGCACGGAGCAGCAGAGGAGAGCTTGAAACCCCCAGCACTCATTGCATAGCCAGGCCACATTTGCAGGGACTTGCATTTCCAAGACTTTTCCTTAAAACTCCTTTGCATAGCATAGTATTTTTGTTACTTTGTTGTACTGAGTTGTCTATCTCCGTTCTGGCAGAGGGTGATGGCTGCATGGTGTGGAATGGCACTGCTCTCAGCCTGGGCAGCTGCCATTCCTGTGCAGGGCTCCTTAGTCCATCCTTAGTGGACTTTGGGGACTGCCTTTGCCTGCTGGGTGCCTGAACTGCCACACTGGACAAGTGAGTGTTGATGTGCCTGGGTTAGTTGGAGAAAATCTCTGCTCTTTCACCTTTTCATCTTCAGGTTAAGCTCTCTGGCCACAGCAATCCTTGTGTGCTTTAATTTGCAGCACTGAGACTTGGTATTTTAGGGGATGTCTTGTTAAGCTCCTAGAATGTCTCAGGATTGATTTTTTGAGGTGCTGGCTGGGAACAAATGCACCCAGCTGCTTTTAACCTTCATTTTCTGTTGGAAGCGAGACAGGTTTAAACTTGTAGCGAGCTCTGCCTGGTGAGCTGTGCCTGAACACAGCTGCTCTTAGCAGGGCACCAACACGACACCACTGCTGCTGTTAATGAGTGTAAGTCACACCAAATGCTTTGCAGAAGCTTTGGCCTGAGTGGTCTTGCTGAAATAAATTGTTGCATGATCAACAAGACCTGAAGTTACAGAAGGAGGTGAGGGCCATGCTGTGACACCGTGGTCTCTGTACCTGGTGTAGCAATGGGACACACAGCTGCTTGTGGTTCAGAGGTGGGTAACAAGGCAGCCCCACCTATGATCCAGTTAGAAGTGTTTTATAGGGTGCAGGAGGAAATGTTTGTGTAATCAAGCCCCCAGCAGCAGGGGATGTGTTCAGGATGACACAGCTGTCCAAGGATGTCATCCAACACATACCACAGGGCCCATTACTTCTGTGTTAAAGGCTGGGCTGCGCTGCCCAGAGCTGCCCTGCCTGACTCCAGATGTGCTGTGGGTTTAGGCTTAAACTATATCAAGATTTGTCGCTGGCAGGGTGTATATGCAACATGGAAAAAAAAAATTGTTCTGGTTGGAGAAATTGAGCTTGTCCAAAATGCCTCAGAGTAGGATGTACATACGGAGGATTATTTAATTCTCCTTGTCTTGCAACATGTTTTCCCAGCTGTTGAAGTCTGCTGTCTCATTCAGCTTCCTGACAGCAGCACAAACATTTTGAGAGTCCCGTGGCCTCATCTCATTCTCTGTTCAGACATTCTTATTGCCGTTATCCGTATGTTTTTCCTTCAGCCTGTTTATTTGGATTTGATTGTTACTTGGAGCTTAGCCCCGCAGCTGTAGTGGGGAGCAGAGCCGAAGGTGGCACTCGCTGTGGCAGCCCCTCTAATACCCTTCTGGTGGCAATGACCTCACGGCCCAACGCCTGTGTCTAAATTCCCATCCTCTTGTGTCTGTGGGAATGCAGCTTAGGAGGATTTGTCGGGGCAAGGAAGAAAAGGAAATGCAGTGTGGAAAACCTTACTACATGTCTTGGTAGAATCACCAAATGGTTTGGGTTGAAAGGGACCTTAAAGACCCCACCATGGGCGGGGACACCTTCCCCTAGACCAGGTCGCTTAGGGCCCTATCCAGCCTGACCTTGGACACTTCCAGGGATGGGGCTTGGGAATGGAGCACTTTGGTCCAGAGGCCTGTTTCCTGCTTGTCCGTGCTGGCAGAACAGTCCAGCACATCTTTTCCTGACTCTGCCACGTTCTCCTCAGCATTGCATCCCCGGCACCTCCTGCTCCGTCGCTCTCGGCTGCGCCCCTTTTAAGCGAGCCGCGCGCATGGGAACTCGCTCGGCTCCCTCGGTGCCAAAACCACAACAAATGGCGAGTTTCCGTCTGTCAGCTCAGCTCTGTGCTCAGCTCTGTGCTCAGGCTCTCCACG